AAAAAATTACTAAATACTATTAATTTATAATATAAAATAGAAGTAATAAGATAATAAGTATAAAGTTTGAAAATACAATTATGATAAAATCACAGAAAAATATCATTAAACAAAAGAAAAAAGAAAGAAAAAAGAAAAAAGAAAAAATATTGAAGTAAAGTAAAATAAATTAGATTATAATCTGTAAAGTAAATTCTAATAGGAATATAAAAGTTTGATAAAAAGTTCAATACAAAAAATATAACTGAAAATTTTCTTCATATTTATATTGAACGAATTCAACTTTATTTTCATTCAACTTTAAGTTCTTTGACTAGTTTTGTTTTTTTTTGGTTTTGTTTTAGTGAAGTTCAAAAGAGAAAATAAAAAAGTTTAATCATAACAATAGTGAATAAAAATAAAGAAAAAAGAATTAGTAGCATTCGTTTTTTTCTCTTTTTTGTTGTTGTTGTTGTCGTCGTCATCGTCGATATCTTAGTTATTTTACATAACATTGTAGTTAATTAACAAGATAATCTTATGTTTTATGGTTTTAATGTAAATACTAAAATGTTGTATGTATGGAATTAAATTATAATTCCAATTAATTTTCATTGTATATTTGTTTACAAATTGAATAATTAACAGTTTTATCAGTATAGGATTGTGGTGATTATTAAGTTATTCATTAAGATCATGAACCGATTGATGTTAGATCACTACTGAAAACATGGAATGGCTGTTTCGTCGCCGTTTCGTTAGACGTTAACATTGTTGGATGCCGGTTGGCTCAGTGGTTTAGAGATTAAGCGTTCGAACGCGAGGCTGAAGGCTATGGGTTCGAATCCTGTGAGCGAGATCGTGGATGGGCACTGTTGAGGAGTACCATAATAGGACGACATGAACGTCCAGTGCTTCCAGATTTTCAATGGTGATATAACATCAATCGGTTCATGGTCTCACTCGAAAAATTTAAGTTTTAATTTACTAGATGAGTGTTTGTTGTCGATAGAGAATCTAGGGGATATTCGGTGTCATAGTGACCGTCTTCAATTGACTGATCCTACTCTATGTTGATTGAACTATATTAAAATACTAAGGACTATATAAACAGTACTACGCTCATATGATTTTGAGATGGTGAAGAAGATTTGTAGTTCAGGTGGATGATTTTGATGGAGTTTTTTTCTCCAAGCCGAATGGTTTGCTCGCGAAGCTTTCTACCTGAAGTTTGTACTGATGATGTAGTTCAGAAGAACGGTGAAAGCTCCAAGACCAAACCATCCAGCTCAAAGAACAAAACTCCATCAAAACTAATATAAACAGTTTTTAACATAGCTTCATCTGCGATTACTCAACTTAAGCTAATGATTATATTAGGACGGTTAAAATGATTTATACAGGTAATCAATAAAATTTCCATGCTTAAGCTGAGTCCTCGATAATAACAATTCTTAGCCGTTATGCAATAGCTTGCCTTTATGAATTTAAATAAAGCCAGAACAAACATCGATGCAGAATAATATGAATTCATTACATTTCATGGTTTTTCGTCCGCTGCTTACAACCTTTTATGTATTGAAACTTTACATTGAGGTCAGAAATAGTGTGAAACAATTGACATAGATGAGTGAAGAGTATTAGAATGACAAAGGTTATCAATAATAACTCTATATATAAGTGCAGGAACAAATCGGAGGTCATAAGGTGCAGTCAAGATACATATAAAGAACGAAAATCATTTACCAAAGATTTCCACATTTCGGTTCTAGGTGTTAGCCAAGATCTAGATTTTACCAATATGATCGTTTGACCATTCTATTTTTTGGGCACCCAGATAATCTTCAAGCAAAACTCTCAATTCTTTTTAAGGACATTTGTTCAAGGTAACCTTCACCAATATATCAGTCATGAAATTCTACAGGGGCTCAGAAAGTGAACAGTATTAGAAGGACATAACTGGTTTTCGTCAAATCAATTTAACTTATGAGCAAGTTCAGGGTGGTTTTGCTAGCACAATACACTTCTTCACATATTTGTCATAGGTAGACACCAAAATAAAAAAATTCAGCATTCTACTCAATGCCATCTACAAAACAACCTTTATAAGAAAACACTAACCAAAAAAACAATTTTAGTGATGTTGTTTCTTTGAGACTATGGCATTATGTGTACACTGCATTTAATATAGCTTAAGTTTAAATCATAATAACTACTTCCAACGAATTAGAGTATCGTATTTGTTATAAAGTCAACAATAATATTAATAATCAGTAGGGACAATGATCTTTAGTCCGAATATCTGTTGCTAACTACATTTTCATTTAGTCTTTTTGCACCACATTTTCAATGTTCAGTCTTTGTCATTATTGTTGTTACTGCACTATTTCTATTCGTATTCTATTCATCCTCTTAATTTTATAACAACTTACTCTGACTTATATTTGCAGCAGACCATATGCCAATTACATCTGACGGATCAATCGATTACATAATATGATCTTTATTTACTGACATATAAATGATGCATAAAACTATTGTATATCACAAGATAAGAATAAAAATATGAGACAGAATTTTTTATTCTACATTATACATTGTATTCCTTCCATGAACGTTGTTGTTGTGAAAAGTAATATGTCACCAATTATACCATGTCATATAGAAGTCTTCAACATAAACAGTGATAGTGTGGTGTGCGCTACGTATATTGATATAAGTAGTAGATAACATGAGTTAAAAGAACGTAATGTCTGGCAGCAGAAAATGGGGAAGATGAAGAAAGGAAGAGCGAGAACACAATGGAATTTGTAAGAAATCGCATGAACAATGAAATGTGAGACAATGGATTGATGTTTGCAACAGCAACAGTCCGGTTTGATATGATGGGATAATATTTTGCAAATTAACGATTAACTATATGGTTTTTCTATTTTACCAAGTAACTCTGTAATTTTGTGCTTAGTACAATTTGGTTGTCCTCACCCGTGTTCTCCTTCACTATAATAGGAAGATAGATTACGTCAGGAAAAAGTGTCGTTTAGGATTTATGAAATATAGAAAGTGCGTTTGGGGTCTGTATTTGTATATTCTGGATAGGTATTAAATCTCTAGACTTAAAACATAATTCTACTCCCTAGTAACGTATATAAAAAAAGACAGGCCTCATAAAATACAGTCGTAATATTGACATTTCCAAATCTGTTATTTTTCGAACAGATCACTCATCATGGTCATCAGTTATTTAATCCAATCACTCTAGAGTAATACTAAGTGACGTATATATATAATATCTGCAACAAACAGTTCAATAATTTAAAAAAAGAATGAGATTAAATATTGTGGATTAAAAATACTCATTCACCTACCTCTCTTACTTAATCGAGAATTAGTGAAAGTCATCGAACATAACTGCAAAAAAAAAATAAAGAATAGCTGAAAAAGAAAGTCCGTTCATGAAAAACCAACTCAGAAGCGCTGAGAATAATCATATTCTGATCAGTGAATAGCTTTAATATATATTTTCAGTTGTTATAATGACGCATTATACCCTATGGAATCAATCAAGTTAGAGATTAAGCAATAAATCATCAATGAAACAATGAAAATTACCCTTTTTTCATAAATTACAATTAAGTTAGAATTGTCGACCACTATATTTTGACTTAATGCAAGATTTAAACGCAACAAGTTTATAGCACCTAGGAAGTCCCATAGTAAGATAAAAGTGACACAGAACACATTCTAATTTTCAGTGTACATTTTTTTGTGTGCGACTAATTTCAATGTATAATGAAACGTTTCCTGAAAGTATGTATAACAATTTATATTTATTTAAAATTTTGATAGTTTTATATTTAAGAGATAAACATACTTACTTACGCCTGTTACTCCCAATGGAGAATAGGCCACCGAGCAGCATTCTCCAACCCACTCTGTCCTCCGCCTTCATTTCCAGTTCTGTCCAATTGTTGTTCATTTTTCTTGAGTCTGTCTCCATTTCTCGGCGTAATGTGTCCTTTGGTCTTCCTCTCCTCCTTTGGCTCTCAGGATTCCATGTGAGGGCTTGCCTTGTGATGCAGTTCGATGCTTCCCTCAATGTGTGTCCTGTCCACTTCCAGCGCTTCTTCCTGAATTCTTCCTCCACTGGGATCTGGTTTGTTCTCTCTCATAGTAGGTTGGCGCTGATGGTGTCTGGCCAACGGATCCGAAGTATTTTACGTAGACAACTGTTAATAAACACCTGTGGCTTCTGGATGATGGCTTTCGTAGTTCTCCAGGTTTCCTCCCCATACAGTAGAACTGTCTTGACATTTGTATTGAAAATCCTGACCTTGGTGTTGGTTGACAGTTGCTTTGAGCTCCAGATGTTCCTCAGTTGTAAATATGCTGCTCTTGCTTTGCCGATCCGCGCCTTCACATCTGCATCAGATCCACCTTGTTCATCAATGATGCTGCCCAAATATGTCGAGGTTTTTACATCTTCCAAATCTTCTCCGTCAATTGTGATTGGATTGGTGCATTCTGTGTTATATAGGACAATCTTGCTTTTCCCTTTGTGTATATTGAGACCTACTGCTGCTGAGGCTGTTGCTACACCGATCGTCTTCTCCTGTATTTGTTTTTACGTAAAAGATAAACATAAATGACATGAATATATTTCATTTAAAGTAGAAAATATTTTATTCTAACAAGTAACCAATCAATGACGATTGAAGATATTTTAAATCATTATCTAACATCCTTATATAATTTGAAATGGGCGAAATTTTATTTAAAATAAATTTCCCACTTTTTTCTAATTGGTTCATTTATGAAAACCAATCAAATAGCTGATTAGTAGAAATACAATATCATCTTTTTTATATTTGCTTTTTCCAATTGCATTCATATATATATATAAATAACTTTACTGAATAGTACTTCATATACGTGAATATATTCTTTATTATTTATGATGTAACATGAACACTTGTTGTAATAACATTAATATTTATCTAAACAATATAAATTAACTTCTAATGTCTTCGTTACTAAACAAAAATATAAGATTATCGTTGTTACTATGTCTTTTATGTCTTATAGACAATTATTGCTTGGATATACAAAAGGATATTTATTTAAACAAACGAAATAATTCAGGTAAGAGCAAGGAGGAGGTTTTTCAAAAATTTCATGTAATTAGTTCCCTTAATGAATTTAAATAAAACAAGAACAAATATTGATGCAGAATAGTATGAATTCATTTTATTTCAAGGTTTCTCGTCAGCTACTTACAACCAAATATGTCTCTGAACTCTATTCAACTATTATATCACTCATCCTTAATTGTTTTCTTCATTCTAACACCAAATAACCTTTGACCTGTTATTATTGATAATCATTGTCATTCCAACTATTTACATTCAATTATGTCAATTGTTTCATAGGATTTCTCATCCCAATGTAAAGTTCTATTACATATTTGGTTGTAAGGAGCTGACGAGAAACCTTGAAATAAAATGAAATCATACTATTCTGCATCAATATTTGTTCTTGTTTTATTTAAATTCAGTTAAACTCAGCTTTTAAATTCTAACATCATTGACTACTTAAAATAAATAAGTAGTGAATGAGTGACTGTTGAATATACTTTGGTATCAATTAACCAATGAAAAAAATCCTATGTATATTTTGTTAATCAAGTTATCAATTATGTTTTAATAAATTTAATGTAGTGCTGTTGTGATAATTTGGCTTTTTTCATGAATTCATAATTTAATATGAGTTCGCTTAACACAGGATATATTTAGAAAACTTTCTTATTTAATAATGTTTATCACTTAAACCTTTTTGACATTTTGAACTAATCATCATGATCCGTATAAGATTCAGGAGATTGTTGAGTTTAGATTGATGCCATGAATGGATAAAATAAACTCCATTTTCTATCCCAAACAAATTTCATAATATTGATAGTCTTCTTTTAATAGCTGGTTTTGATTTTTAAAAATATCTAACTAGTACTGACAGCTTATGTGGCCGTTTAGCGTGTGAAAACTTAAGAAAACTCAAATGATAACCATTTGTACCGATATAAGTTTATGGTAGATCATAAAATTAGAAAATAAATGAAGAGATAATATCGGTAGTGTTTATCCATTGTTAATGAATCACAATGAACGACAGATCAACGGCCAAGTACTTCTTGATTATTTTTTTTCCCCAGTGATATATTTCTATGACAAAAATCATTCTTAAAGCTCATTCTTATCATATTCGATTCAAATATATAGATTATATTTATTTCAATTTCTGATCCTACTTAAAAGCTTACTGAATTGTTATTCTGTTGATAGAATTCACTGAGAACAAATTCCTTTTAACTAAAATTAATGAATATAATCTGACTTTAAAATTATATACTTAAGATTATCTACCATTAGGAGGACGATAAAAAAGAATATGAACATTATTATTTGTCTAGTTAGAAGTTAATCATTTAGTTGACTTAAAAAACCATTATTATTTTTGTTCACATCTAACAATGGATGAATAATGTGTTCTTGCCCATCAAAATATCACTGAAGAATACATGATCTTAACAGTAGTCAAGACAATATTTTGAAAAAAATGTCAGTTAACAAGGTGTTAAAAGTGATGTAACAATTTTACTACAACAAACACATACATAGTCTAAGCGTGTATATCAAACAGATGTGTACTTATCTTTGTATTTATGTAGTTCTAAATATCATAGCATGTATTTGTGATAGTTAGGGGATTTTAAACTTTAAAATCATAGTGATAAATGCCGTTGTCAGATATATATATATATATATATATATATATATATATATATATATCAGAGTGGGTTTATAAAATCAGTTGAAGGTTTTGAAACAATGCGACATTTCATTTTGCATACAAATGAATTACGTTCAAGTTCATGTAATATTTTACATAATAATTTGATCTAAAGATTATTAAAGTATATATTTTATAAACAAATAGATAAAGTCAGTTCACTAAAGATCAATAACTTGCTTACTTACTTAATTACTTAAGCCTATTAACCTCCCTCCCATGGTGGAGCATAGGCTACTCACTAGGATTCTCCATTCATGCTCAGCTTACTGTAAAAGTGATTTGACAGTGAACTTTGGTAGTATGAAAAATCTTATTATAATCGAGACTAGATTTATTCAATATATAGTCTTTATACCTATAGATCATTCATAAAACTCAGTTTAGAATAGTATTATTGATATTGATAATTCTGTGTTCATCAACCAGGGAAGTAAGGATTTATCGACTATCAAAAATAATTTATGCTTTCACTTTAACAATCAAATTTGTTTTTGGTTATTGTGTTAATGGTACGCTGATAATGAACGCCTGTTCTCTAACAATCAGTGTATTATAGAACAGAGTTAAGAGAAATATCACTAGATATTGTACTCCACACGATATGCAAAATGGTTTAGAAATCTGTAGTGAAACGGACAAATAAAACAATTTAGATATTTTTCAAGACGCTATATTATATAATGAAATAATTAGGGATTGTAATCAGACTCAACCTGCTGTCTTGTAAACTTGAGAAAATCAATTTTTTCTGATTTCTTCACATTAGACAACCAACTGATCTCGCCGGAAACTGTCGAAAAACACTGTCATCAAATCTAGAGTTTTAGAATGAATTATCACAGATTTCGAAGATATCAAATCATTTAATTGACTGTTTTATTTAATAGCTATCCTGTTTTCTTTTAACACAGAATCAACATATCATGATCTTCAGATAGAACTAATAATAATGTTAACTGAAAAAGAAAACTGAATGAATTCTACAACATGTGCAACACATGGACTGAATTCTATATGTTGCTGACAGACGACAAGTTTTTAAAACAGAAAGATTTTTCACACGAAATCCCTACTTTTTTATGTCAACTTATCTTTATGAGAAAGCTTTTTCATGTATAAACTTTAGCAAGTCTAATTTCAGATCTCAGTTCACAAGCATAATCCTGAGATTCGTATTACTTATTACGATAAGTTAAGTGCTTTTTAACTGTAATATTTTTGAAGAAAAATGTATACAGTTGAATTCATCAAAATAAGGATGTGACATTGTCAACATTGATCCTTGTGTAAATAAATGTTAGTTCAATTAAAGCTTCATGTCATTATTTGAATTAAGAATATTTTTAAAAGTTGTATTTGCTACCCTTCTAGCTTAGTATCTACGTTCATATAACCCTTGAATAAGAAAGTTAAATCATGTCTATCATAGAACATATGATTAATGAATTCTACTAGAAAATGTTTATATATCTTAATGAAAGAAATACTTTTTGCAGTTAGATAAAATTTAGTGAGAATACCTTTCAGAAGCGTATAAAAAAAATAACCGAGGGAACAAACAATAGCAAGTTACTAACTACCTTTAGAAAGATTTTTTATGATAAAACAATGTTTTCTATTTAGAATATCGACTAATCCAGTTAACAACAGTAAGTGAAAGTAACCCAACAAGACACTAGCATTCAGTCAATCAAACTGACAGTTAGAATTCAAACGTGGTCGGTATAAGTCAGTCAGTAGTGAGATATTACATAATATGACTTTATTTACTAACAAGCGACTCACCACTATCCTTAACTCTAAAGAGGAAGAATGTATTTGTAAAATCTCAGTGAAAGAATTTGAAGCAAATACAATATTTCGCCTGGCAATCTGGTTCAAGCTTTTCCAAGGAAATATAATCAAAACATCAAAATTATCGAATATAAATAGGTATATTTTCTCGCTGAGATTTTACAAATACATTCGTCTTCTTTAATGTCTCACATTAACTCCGCGCCAAAATACTGTGAAACTATTCGATCAAATTTACACGAAAGTTCTTATTTATCCTTAACTCTGTTCTTATGCTTACTATCCTGAATATGGAATTTCGTAATATGATCAGTAAATCCTTAAAACTAAAACTTCCTGTTTTAACATTAACATCGTTGTTTACTATAAAATCTGAAGGAAAAGTCTTATCTAAAAACAGTCGGTTTCTATCTGAGCTCAATAGTTAATTTACTCATTTGCGAACCATGAGCTCATACAGTGATCACATTATAAAGTGGAATAATTTTGTTGAATTTTTACCAACGAAGAAGTCTATTTTTAAAAATGTTCTTCATCAGTTTAACTATTCTGAGAAATGAGAAAAATACCTTTATAAAGCTTATTGTTCTTAATTTTATCGATGGTAATGTTAGCTTATCAGTGTATTCTTGTAGGAAGTAACTGTATTATTTTTTACTATGTCAAGCGTTTCCCTATAAAAAAATTTAAGTAATATAACATCAACTTCGTCAGATTATCGTGATAAGTCAGGAAGAAGGTTACCAACTTAGATGATTGAGCAGTGAAATGTACATTTCCCATCAATTACTTTTAAAACAATCGGGCTCTTCAATAAATCTCGGTTTAGTGAAGAGATAAGGATATTTTAGAAATGGGAGTATTAAAGTGTAACTATTCTAATCATATGTTTATTTCTCATGGCCATTTAGTTGAGAAGTAGGAAAGGTCAAACAAAAAAATAACTAATAATTGAAATTTTAAGATAGGTAGATGGTAAAGTAACAGATGAATTACTACTTGTCAGATTACATGTGGAATTAAAAAATGGATTAAGGATTAACTAAACAAACTCAAATACAATACAAACCGCCTTGAATACATAAAGGTTCGAGTTTCCCAACAGCCAGAACTTCCATAAGGTTTATATTGCTCTCCTGACTGTTTTTATGCAGAGTCTATAATGTTTTCTTAAGGTTGGCTCTATGATATGTCCAAGTTATACGGCTTGCATTAGAAGAGCATGGTTGTCTATCTCCATAGCTTATCTAGGTTAATGATGTTAATTAATAAACATACTATATCAACACATATTCTATCATCTTCATTTGTACAGCACAATGACTTTATTTGAAATACCTTGTCTTTTTATCTTGTTCAGAATAGAATATGTTTCTTTTTAATGTCACTTCATTTATTTTTATTTCTGTTCATCTAATCATTTTGGAATAAGGATGATTTCAAAACTGAACACATTCTCCTATACAAACAATTAAGGCTTACTGAAATGATACTACGTT